GTGACCTATGCTTTTTTTTCGGTAGGGTCCATGAAACTTCCCTTGTGCTTCTCTAGCCCTGTCCCTTCCCATGGTTGAAACATCAAAGACTTTAAGCAAAATCACTGATTTTCTAACTGGTTGTACAAATTGTACTCTACATACAATTCTGCACCTTGTTTATTCAATTAATGTTATATTTTGGAGACATCTCTGTCTTGACACCTTCTGAGGTTGGTTTTTTGTTTGTTTGTTTGTTTTTGGTTTTTTGAGATAGGGTCTCACTGTGTAGTTGAGACTGACCTGGAACTCACTATGTAGCCCAGGCTGGTCTCGAACTCACAGTGATCCTCCTGCCTCAGCCTTCCCAGGTGCTGGGATTACAGGCATGCGCCACCACGCTCAGCTCATTCTGAGTTTCTGCATTCTTTTGTTGTTGTTTTTTTGCTACCGGGGATCGAACTCCGGTCCTTGCACTTGCAAGGCAGGTGGCTAAATCCCCAGCCCTCTGCATTGTCTTAAGGCTGGAAGACACATCTGTACCTGGCACTCCATGGTACAGAAGAATGGGTCTTTTATGCTACCAGCCCTCTACAAATAGATATTTGGGTTGTTTTTGGTCTTTTTATTACAAACTCTTTAGCAACATCCAGCCTTGTACAAATAGTTTTCATCTGTCGAAGTATTTCTGTAAGATCAATGCCTAGATATGAGATTTCTGGGCCATGTGGCATAAGCATTTATAATTTTGATAGCACTTTTCATTTGTCCACACGTAGGCCAAGTTATACCCCCAGGGGCAGTCTCTGAGATGGTCCATTTCCTTACCCCTTACCAGCACAGCAAGGCATCAAAATGTTCTATTCTGCCAATTTAAAAGATGAAAACTAGCTTCTCATTGGGATTTTAATTTGCATTTTTCGTATTATGAATAAGAATGAATATCTATTTGTGAATTTCTATTTATATGCTTTGCCAATTTTTCTCTTGTGTTATCTTTTTCCAAAAGATCTCTTTATAGTTATTAGCATTTTGTCTATTATATAAAATACAAATTATTTTACCGGATTGTCACTTAGTTTTTGTCTTTATGGGCGATATTACTGCCATGAAGAATTTTTTTTATATGGTTGATTTTTTTAATGGATTTTGAGATTTTAAATTATTTGGGAAATGTTACCCACTATAAAATTATATTCTCCAGTGATCTGCCATATTACTTTAAAGGCTTTATTTTTAACATTTAGATGTTGGCTCCACTTATTCAATCCACTCACCAAACATTTATCAACTTACTATAAGCCAGGCCATTCTAGACACTGTGGATATAGCAGTGAACCAAAAAATCCCAACACTCTGGCTTCATGGAGTACACATGCCAGAGAGAAAAAGCAGGCAATAAACAGAGAAAGTGAATTAAATAAGTGGTACACTTTGTGTCTTAATTACTTTTTTCATTGCTGAGACAAAATATTTGACACCCAAAGTTAAAGGAGGAAAGGTTTCTTCAGCTTACAGTTTGTAGAGGTTTCAATGCATAGTTTGTTGTCTCTGAGGCAGGGTGGCAAGGCAGAAAAGCATCACAGAGGAGAAACAGTCCACAGCAAGCAGGCAGGTGACAGCGCATTAGCCCTCTTTTTGTCCGTTATATTTCATGCAAGCTGCCACCCTTACGTAGATGTAAGACTCACATCCTTAATTCTAGCTAGAACTATGCCAAAGCAATCAGTGGATTGATTTAGTAATCACACACCCTTGATCCCAGCACCATGCACTCTAGATCTGGCCACCTCTGCAAAGCAACCCCCCATGACTGCATGAGACATTGGGGGTCATCTAGATACAAGTCATAACAACCAGGTTAAGTGCAGGTTATTTTTGTGTAAGGTGGAGCATGGATCTAACTTTATTCTCTTTCTAGATGTCCACTCAGGTTTCCCCTATTATTTATTGCATAATCTCTCCCATGTTGAGATTACATCTTTACCATACTTTACATTCCTTTATATATTTGTATCTGTTTTTTAGACTCCTTTCTGTTCATCTAATCTGTTTATTCATCTACTAGCACCATTGTTTTAACTACTAAAGCTTTAGACTGTGTTACTGTGACAAAGATAGTTCTGTTCACTCTTTATTCTTCTTTTTGGAATTTCCCTATTATTGCTGGTTTATTTTTTTTCCAATTGAGCTTCAGAGTCACATGGTCATTTCCTCTAAATTGATATTAAGCATTACTCTAAAATTACCAAGTAACTCAGAGTATTGTAAAATACTCAGCATCCTCAGAGTGCTCTTAACTATACAATCAACATCCTTATGGTGAGAAGCCTTCCTATCCAAGAGCATGGTATGTCTTTCTGTTAGCTTACGTCTTCTATTATGTCCTTAAGGAGTATTTAAATTCTTAATTTAGTTCTTACACATGCATAGCATTTAGACATTTTTTTCATTAGCTAGAAACATTGAAAAATAGAGTTTACTTTATCAAAATCTGGATTTTTTTTCTTCTCATGAAAAAGAGAAAGATCTGGGAACACAGACCCCATGTCCTGCCAGGCAACAACTTGATCACCCATTTGGCAGAAGCCATGAATGTGTTCCCCACATCACTGGGATGAGTCCTGCTGTGCACCTCTGTCACTGCCTGGCCTTTAAAAGCTTTGGACTGGGGACTCAGATCCAGCAATGCCCACCCCCTCATGCACATGTGCATTGTTGTGAAGCCCTTGCATGTTCCTCCTGACCCACCCTCCTCACCTGCCCTGGGTCCTCAACTGCTTGCTCAGTGGAGTTCTCTAAGAGCCTTGGTATCTTATCTGTCTTGTCCCATGGACAGGGCAACGGGCCCAGAAAAGAAATGTACTAGTCAGCTTCATGTTACTATAATAAAATAAGTGAAGTGGTTAGTTTAAAAAGAGAAAAGGTTTATTTAGCTTATAGTTCTGGAGTTTCCAGCCAAAAAAACAGATGTCTCAGTTTTTTTGGGTCCCTGGTGAGGATTCTAGATGGCAATGGTAGGGAGGGCACAGTGGAGCCACTCACATTTGAGCCAGGTGTCAGAGGAACCCCCAAGAGGCTTGGGTTCCATAGTCCCCATGGAGGGTGCACCTCCAATGACCAAGGAGCACTCACTGGGCCCCACCTCTTAAAGATCACAGCACCTCCTAATGCTACCATCTGGAGACCAAGCCACACAGGGACTTTGGGGGACACTGTCCATATTTAAATCATAGTAGGAAGCTGGATGTGGTGGTGCACTCCTATAATCCCAACACTTGGGAGGCTGAGGCAGGAGAACTGCTGCAAGTTTGAGGTCAGCGTGAGCCACATAGCGAGTTCAAGGCCAGTCTGAACTACATAGTGAGACCCTGTCTCAAAAACATCAAATTAATTAATTAATAAACTGAGGTTATTGTGTGGTGATTCTCTGGCATATGCGTGCACACGTGTGTGTAAAATGAACCAAACATAAAACTCAGGGGCCTGGGGAGGATGCTGTGGTTCACAAAAGGTCCACTTGGGACCCCAAGATGGGTCAGAGTCCAGTCGCAGTGGAAGGGCTACCAGCTTCTCCATCCACTGGTCTGGGGGCTGGTGCCCTTTGGAACCAACCATGACATATGGGCTCCAGCAGCCGAGCAACGGATAGCAAGAGCCTGTCTGCCTCTCCTCTCCCATGGCAAGTATTAGTGAAGGACACAGGTCCCCCTGCAGGGATGGACAGAGGGAAACCACAGGCTTTCCTTTCTCTCTGTCCCCAGGGGTGGCAGAGGGATCTACTATGGAGCTCAAATCTCTCCCATCCTGAAACACAGCTGCATCTTTCCACCTGTGTGGATCTTTCCAACTCCTGCCCCAGCTCTCTCTTCCCTCGCCACGGTGCTGCAGAATCGTGTGCACCAAAAGTTCTCCACTTCTGTAACCTCCGCTCCCTCCTTGGGCCACCACCCTCTGGCTTCCATGTCCCCTGACCAAGATCACACACCATGGCCACCACAGCATGCTTCTGCTGGTGAGAGCCTCAGGGTGCTTTCCCAGTCCTGTTCTCTAGGACCGCTCGGCTGCAGGCGGCCTATTTGTACCTCCCTGCTCTGAAACCTCTGGGTTTCTGTGGGACTGTTTCTTGATCCTTCTTCTCTGTCTGCGCCTTGTCCCTCCTCCCAGGCCCCCTGCCCACAGACCAATGCTTTCAGCTGTGACTTATTTCCCATCGTGTTGTCACAGGCACTGTGTGCAACTGCTTTCATCCCAACTCTGGCCATTAGTACCATGGGCCCCGCCATGCCCTGCTTAGCATGGGCTGGATGCACAGACGGGTGAATGATCTACGCTTCACAAAGTGTTTTCCTTTGAAAGAGGGTAGCACCCTAGGCCAGCACTGAAGGTGACAGGTCACTCAAGGGTAAAGTATTGGGCACTTTCCTAGCAAGTGTGAGCACACTTTCCAGAGGAGTTGTGGATCTGGGCAGAGAGAAGGAGGCCATGGGAGCAGAACCAGGCTGATTCCCGGTCCTTTTAGGAACAGAATCTAGGGGCCAGGGGTTTGGCTCAGTGGTGCTGCTGCCTGCCTCGCAAAAGCAAGGTCCCGAGTTCGATCCCCAGTACCAAAAAACAAAAACAAAAATAGAACAGGATTTTGTACTTGTTGCTTAATCATGTTCAGTTAACCAGGGTCAAGAATAGAAGGGCAAGGATGGACACAAAGAGGGTCATCAGAGAGAAGAGATGACAAGGTGGACAAGGCAGGGAGAGGGTCACCGAGAAAGAGGGAGAACGCAGGGGGGAGAAGGGTAGGGTGCATTGATTAGAGAGGGGCAAGATGGCCTGCAAGTCCCAGGGATGTGGAAGCCTGTTCAAACCTTGTGGTGACCACAGAACCACCAGTGGCGTGGTAGGTACGATGGCCTCTTGGCAATCGGACGGCATTTCACTGTTTCTTCTCTCCTTGGGTACTGACGCCTGCTGTACGGACAGGTTACAGCCACCCCCACGCCCCAACTCTTAGGAGGCTTTCTTACCTTGAGAATAGCCCTGGCTTCACTGTGTCGCCTGTGATCTCTTTGCCATCTGTCCCCTTTTCAGAATATAAGGCATGGGCCGGGGATTTAGCTCAGTGGTTCCACCGCCTGCCTCGAAAACCCAAGGATCCGAGTTCAATCCTGGTACCAAAAAAACACACAACAAATAAACAAAGAATATAAGGCTTGCTCCGTGCCTCTGACCAGTGGCAAAGAGGCCAGGACAAAGGAATGAATGAATGGAAAGTCACAACCTCTGCCCTCAAGGGGCTTCCAGTTTTTCTGGGGACCTGAGAAAAAACAAGATGGGATCAATTAGATTCAGTTGCTAAAATGTGTGCGTGTGCATGTGTGTGTGCGTGTGCACAAAAGAGGCACTGGCAATGCTTAGCTTGTCTACTCCGCCTTCCTGCCAACGTCTCTGTCCCATCATGACAGAAACCAAGAGCTCAGGCGAGGCAGTGTTTGCTTAGTGGCCCCGTCACTACATTTGTCACCTATAATAAATTTGTCGTGAACAACTAGCGTTGGATTCATAGAAACAAACGATCTGTTCATTACCCTGCTTCTGTTGTTGGACAACGAGCTCTTTCTGGAGCTTTATTTTCTGTTTCCAATGAGCTGCTGAGTGTGCAGTTCTGAAGCTGGGAGCTCCGCTCTCTCACTTCCCGCGAGACCTGACTCAGCGCCTTCCTTGGGAAACTGGTGAAAATCGGCATCATAATAATAATACCGTACCAATCTACGTGGCTGTAGGAGAATGAAACAAGAACATGCTCAATGAGGGTCACTTATTACTGTTGTCATCTCCGTGTCCTCCATATCCCATAGTATGCCTTTCACCTGATAGGTCTTCAATAAATGTTCTGCAGTTGGAAACATAAAAACATCACTTGTGTTTGGAGCTGAAAATCATGACGGTACTCCCAAACATAAATTTTGTGAATTCAACAACAGAACACAGAGACAAGAAAAATAAAGTTAGTTGTCGAAGACTTGGGGGGATACGCGTTATTGTTCTGACTACACCACAAACCAACCAGACGCGTAATTGCGGGATCTGAGATGTATCCTGAGACTGGCTGCGGCTGCAGATGGCTGGCGGGCGTCTGAGTGAGATGCGTAATTGTGCGGCTGATGTGCTCTGTGTCACACCAGTGTGTGTGACCAGCAGGCGGTGGGGAAGAAGATCTGAGAGGCCGGGAAGCCGTGGGGAGGTCTCCAGAGGAATGGAAATCGGCAGTGAGGCCTCCGCACTCCAGGGGGAAAGAGCAGACTCCCAACCCCAGAGTTACCCTTTGGGGTGCCCTGAGCACGAAGGCAGGAAAGGAAGGCAAGGATCTCGCTTCCAGACAAACATGTGCGATGGCCCAGATGTCTCTGGGGACCGGCTCATTTCGCCTCCTCCTTTGGAAACAGAATTGACACTTTAAAAACAAAAACAAAAAAAACTGGAGACAGGCTTTCTCTACGTTGCTAAATTGCGCAGGCTGGGTTTGCAACCCTCCTGTTCAGCCTCCCAGACTGCTGCCATTACAGGCACCCAGCCGCATAATTGATACATTTTAACTCTAAGCTCTGCTACAATGTGACCGCCTCTTCCTGCCTTTCCTCAGGTTCTGTATCACATCCCTAAGCAAAATCCAGATGGGACAGTCTGAGTGACCACTCCCAGCCCCCACTGCACCGGGCTGTCTGTGGGCCTCAGGGAAGCCTGGGCTCCCTCCCCTAAGTGGTGGCCTGGGTGTGGGCGGGGTGGAGGCGTAGGGGCAGTGAGGACAGGGTGCAGACAAGGACGGGTCGCAGACTGACCTGCCTGGCTCTCTGTGCATTTGCTGGGTGGGCTTCCAGCAGGGGAGGGCAGGCGTGAGCAAGGCTCTGGTATTCTTTGCCGGCCCTGCTGTCTCCCGGCCTTCCAAGGGTCACAGGTCCCTGTTCTATGTGCCCCTCTCTGACATTGCTCACTGCTCCTAACTCTGTTTTCCTCAGGGATTTCACCTGTGATCTCGCTTATGAGGCTGCTGTGACCCAGGGGTGCAGGGCCTACCCAAAGCCACCTCCCACACCTGCGGGTAGCCCTCTTACCGGGGACCTGCACCACCTCAGCTCTCTCAAGTGACACAAAGAACCAGGGGGCTTTGGTGGGGGTCACAGGCTACAGGTGATGGAGCAGGTTACCCTTGTCCTGTCAGCTGCCTCCTCTCTGGTGGTCCTGAAGCAGCTACTCGGGGGAGGAAGGGTGATTCCAGAGCTGGACAGGCTCTAGGACGCCCCTGCCCATGGCTTGGGCTGTTTCTTTTCCCTCCCCACAACACACACACACACACACACACACACACACATGTACACACGCGTACACACACGTGCGTGCCCTACATTCACACCCTTTCCACCTTAAAAACCAAAAACCAAACAGGAGAATGATCAGGGAGAGGAGCTTGCTGCTCTTCCTGCCAGCCACACCCTGAGAAAACAGGAGAAAGCAGGGAGAGGAGCTTGCTGCTCTTCCTGCCAGCCAGGCCCTGAGTGTGCTGGTCAGTCCTGGAGGCTTCGGACTCCGCCTCCCCGAATGGAACCTCGAGGTCAGAGCCTGGGCAGGGCCTGTGACCTCGAGTCCTCAGGTGGAGGAGGCCCCTGTGTGACAGGTCTGGGGGCCCATTCCCCAGGAGCAGGAAGTGCCCTGCTCCGTACTCTCACATGAGGTCTGTGGCCAGGCAGGCAGAGGTGTCCCTGGCTGCCCTCTACACACTGTTCTGCCTTTATTTCCTCCTCAGGTCATTGTTCCCGTTCTTTAAAATATGAAGTTCACAGCTCATTTATGCCTCAAATATTTATCGTGTACGTTGTACGTTCCAGGCACTGAGCAAGCGGCAGGCAGAGGTAAACTAGGCACCGTCTTACACTCTCAAGCTCCACGTCAAGTGGAGAAAGGGTCCGATCAGCTGTTAGTCACCATGGGGGTGCTGGGCTGCCATGCTGTGGGCACCAGTTCAGGCTTGGACCCAAGGGTGCAGAAGGCTCCCTGGCCTTTGAAGCTGTGTGGCACTGAAGGCCCAGTTCCAGGCTGGCCCGCGAATCAGGAGTTTGCAGAGATGCCTGGGACCCATGGAGCCAAATGCATCAGCAGCGTGGGAAAAGACAATTGCAAAATCAAAATGAGCAAATGGCCCATTAAATGTCTTCAAAATGTGCTATTATGTCAAGCAGTCGAGTGCATCTCGACTCAACCCTTCCACGCTTATGTATAAAATATATTTAATGTGGCACGTGGGGAAATGGAATGGGTTTGATATGATTAGGGGCAAGGCCACAACCAAAGTGCCCAGGGCCTAGGAAAATTCTCACCCAGCCCTGCTGGATGGAGCCCAGACGGGAGCGGCAGCCCAGACGCGAGTGCGCAGGTGCAAAGCCAGAGGGCCGGGGTGCAGCACAGCCGCCCCGCCTCTGCAGGGCCTGCGGAAAGAGGTGCATATGTGCTTTCATGGGGGCAGCTGTACCGCAGGGGCCCAGGAAGCAGGAGACACAGCTGCAGGCCACCCACAGGATGCTGCGAGAGGGGCCAGCCCGCCGCCCGGATTTCCTCTGCGTTCCGCTGCCTCCCGCATACCCCTCTGTGAGCATCACCAGGCGCCACTTGCACACAACTGCGCATCCCACAATTCACCGAGGTTTGTTTTCCCCTCCAACTCCAGATGGCCTATCTGGGGACGGCGTGGCCCCTGGGTGCAGGCCGGTGCTGCTTTGATGAGCTGTGCACATATGGATACCCCAACATCTGGAGCGGCCATGTGCTGCCCCGGGCAGGCCAGCCCCGGCGTGCCAATGGGGGGCCCTGGGGTGCCAGGAGGCTTCAAGGCCCAGTCATCGCCGATAAATTATTCATGACCGAGTTATTTGTGGTGCAAAGGGGTCCATCAGCTACTTTGATTAAACTCCAATGAGTAATGAATATGCAAACGCCAGCGACTGCTCCAAGCAACAGATTAGTCAAATTGTCTATACTTCACCGAGATAAAGGGAATTCTCCTGGGGTCCCGAAATTGAAAAAACGCACCATCAAATCACAGCATTATCTTAATTATCAAATCTCCTTGGCCGTGCAAATACCCTGTGTGAAGCTGAGCAGGGTGACGCGGAGAGGAAAAAGTCGAAAGAGAGCTGTATTCTCATCTCTGAAATCGGGGCCCGGCTAGTGAGAAACAGCCGGGTATGAGCAGAAGTGATTTTAATTCACATGGTGACTCCACAGCCATTTAATTATTTTAATTAGGCTTAATTAGTGGTAAATTTACAATGATATGCTTGATACCTGGCATTAAATCTTTCATGCATAAATGTTTTGTTAAAATGAGGGAAAGGCAAGTGGCATTTCGCCAGCAATTACTGCCGAATGTTCTAATGAAGGATTAGGGTTGGCGGTGATTCAGGAAGGCGGGAGGGCCCCAAACTTGACTGTGAGGCACCGGCGCACTAGCACTCCTATGTGCCCCCTGCATCTGTGCCACCCTGTCCTTGTCACTCCAGGGAAAACCTGCTTAGGGGGAGGCCTGTGTAGGGGGAGCTTTGGGGTCCTGGCTCAGAGCCCAGAGGCCGTCTGTGTGGGAGGTGGTTGGAGGGGCTCCAAGTCCCCCTGACTTCGTCTGTGCAAGAAGCAGCAGCGACAGGGGTTACCTGTCACCCTGCAGGGCCATTGTCCTGTGGCCCTGGGCAGTGCATGAGCCCCTGTGCTTTCCTCTGCACCCTCCGTGCCTGGCTTGGCCATGCGGGACGCGATGCCCCAAGTGCACGGAGGACGTCCCACAGTGCTTGTTGCTGGGCTGAGCTGTGCTCCAGCTTGTCGTGGGCCCCAGAGAGGCAAAGCCTTACTGATTAAGTCACCTGAAGGTCTCAGCAAGGCCCAAGATCCAGGCAGGGCCCTGCTTCTGTCTATCTATGGTTCGCCTGCCCAGGACAAGGACTCACTACGGGCTCTCAGCAATCAGATTCAGCACCCTGCACCATACTTAAGAGGAAACAACCGGGACCAAGATGACAGCAGGAGAAGGACAAGGCGATAGAAGAGGGGGAAAAGGAGGAGGAGAGGGGTAGGAGCCTGCTTGCTTAGCACGTCAGGGATGCTACGCTGTCTTACTGTTCT